AGGATGGGCGAAGAGGAGCCGCTGCCGGCAGCTGCTCCCACGCGCTGCCGCTAGGAGTGCCAACCGCCGCGGACGGGAGAGGCACTGCTTGGCGGATCCGCGCAGCCCGCGGCGTTTCCGGAGCCGGAGCCGGAGCTGAAGGCGACGAATGGAAGCCCAACGCAGCAACGCAGACTGGATGGGCTCCCTGCCGCCCGTCCTCAGCGCCCTGCCGCTTTCCAGGCTGGCCATCCCAGGTAATTGACGACCGAACGGACCTCGCCTGCCTTTGCTCCCTGGAAGGCGCCTGGCAAGCCCGCGTTTGGGGGAGGCTGCACATCTGGCGGGCGCACCCTACATCACCCGAATACTGAATATGCTTGGCAGTTTCTGGCAAAAATTTAGCAAACAGCACCTCCCTCAAGAGAATACCCTCCAGCTGTGCTGGACTGCAATACCCATGATGGACAGGGCCTATAGGAATTGGAGTCTGATACATCTGGAGGACAACACATTGAGGAAGAAGGCCAACTGAGTTTAAGAATGAGGAAACCAGGGAATTCTGGGAGTTGTAGTTTGAACACATCTGGAGGGGAGGAGGTTACAATATTTATGTGAACGTAAGTCCCACTGATCTCAGTGAGATCCAGAAGTCAGGATGAGGGGTTGGGCAGGTTAAAGACCTAGTTATTATCTTGAATTTTGGGCATTTTTACACTTAATAAAAAATAATTAAATAATTGGAAAATTAAATGCCATTAGTGATTTGCATCTATAAAATGGGTGTCTTTGAAACAGAGTACAGTAGTTAAAACATTTTACAAATATTTCTTTCCTTGATAAAATAAGAGTATATGCATTTTATATATCATTAATAGTCTCTGGTATACAAAGATTATAGGATACAGCAGGGGCATTTAAGATGCTTTCCCCCAGAATAAAGAAGTTGATAAATTTCATTGAATGAATGAATGAAAATGTTTATTACAGTCAAAGGACCCAAGAACAAACATAATAACAAAGAAAGAAAACAGCATACATTTTGACATTTTATAGAAAACAAATAATTCAGGAAACAGTTCCTTCCTGCATCTAAACAGGACAGCCAGAAATTTGGCTACAGCCAGAGTCACATTAGGCCTAAAGCTGGACAACAGAAAATATTCATATACATGGTTTAAATGCCCTGGTTGAAAAATAAAGATGATATTTAATTTATTTTTCCCAAATTTAGAAACCAGCAAAAAGATCAAGTTTCACTGTCATGTTTAATCACTGAATATAGCAAGCTGCCTTATTCTGATTTCCTAGCCCAAAAGAGGAGGTGCTCAAGAATGAAGGGGGGGGGGGGGCTTTTTCATACAAAACCGTTTCACTACCAAGTGATGGTGTTTCCTAATTTTTTCTATGATTATGAAGTTTTGTCTCTAGTACTTTATATTGGGATAAAGGCAGCAATTAATTGAGACCTCAGTATGAATTTTTTAGAAATGGATTGGTTTCGTTCAGACAATAATCTCCTTTTGCTCCAATTTGTGTAGGACAAGTTCCTCCCTGATTATGCAACACATTTCTTTTGCCTGTTAGATCACGAGATGGACATATGCAGGCATAATTTGAACAAAGCACAAACATTCAGACCTGAACAGCATAGTAAATATACCAAATAAAACCTGTCAATGGACTATTAACCCTTAATCTACCCTAAAACAGCTTATAAATGTTTTTAAGGAAACAGTAAATTTATCTTGCAGTTACACTGTCCATAGGATGTTTCAGAATGATACACAAAAAGAACAAGACTGGGGAAATTGAAATACTAGTTTCAAAAAAGAATTCTAGGTCTTAGTTCTAATTTACCAGAATCCAGTGATCCAAATTACTCTTTCTTATATAAATAAACCAGGACTGGGGAACACATAGATCTCTAGATAATGATGTGCCACAACTCCCAAGAGCCCCAACCAAGTGAGAGAGCTTTGGAACTGTAAATAAGCAACATCTGGAAATAGTCAATTTAGTGACTTCATAGACTTAAATTTCTGATTAATGCTACCCTATTGAATGACTGATTTGGTAAAGATGTCAGTAGGATTTGACCGTAGGATAGTTATCCTTTATGGGGTATCCCAGTCTCTGTTGCCTTTTTTTGTGCCTGGTGTACAATGCATAAAACATTCTTTTCATCTCATTCTTACTTAGCTGTATTAGCTAGCTGATTAAAACATAAGCTATTCACTAAGTGAATATTCTTTACTGTCATACCAGTTAAAATTAGGATGTCTTTTATACATGATTATGCTGGAGACACAATGCTGATATATTCACATATTTGTAGATAGTGGAAAGTTTCTCAGCTCAATGATTAAAACTCATGTTTTGCATGAATAAGGGCCCAGGTTCAATCTGCATCTTCAACTAAAAAATAGCTGGCACATGGTGATCTTTTACTTGTTGTGTTTTTCATTTGCACTTAACAAAGATAGCAAGCCTGGAACAGATCTCTACTTGGGACAACAAGCATTTCTTTCTAATTGGAGTACAGATAATATTGGGGCTGATTGATTGATTTTACTGGATCCCAAGGAACATCAAGAAAAAAATGTTGGTTATTTCAGGGGCCTTCTGGACAAAAGTTTTGTCCATTGCATCCAAAGTCTGCTAATTGGGAGTCTGTTAAATCTAGGCTTTACTGTATTTAAATATTCAGTTACATATAGATATTATTAAAGATGGAAAATACATTTTCTACGTCTTAAAATAAATAGATGTGGTTTTATAAAGCTATAAAGAAGTATGGTTAACCAGGATAAAGTATTCAGTAACACTTGTAGCTTTTTGGCGAAAGCTGATCATTAGCTGAGGTCAAACAACATTTCCACATTAGATGAGATTGAGAGTATATAATTGCAGATATAAGGTTATTATTTAGGAGGGCTGACCTTTACTTAGCAATAACCATAGCTGACTTCAACTAATCTCAGAATACCAGACTAGATGAATCATTTGTTCTTCTTTACGCCCAGTCACCTTAAACAACTGGAAAATCCATAGCTGGCACATGGTGATCTTTTACTTGTTGTGTTTTTCATTTGCACTTAACAAAGAAAATGTCTCTGTTAGCAGAACCAGCCCTTTGGTCTTGCTGCTAAAGATATAAACTAGGAAATGTGCTAGTGAGTCATAACAGTAGCTAATGCAAATGCTTTGGCTCAAAAGTCCCATTTCAAGTATTTTTGATAAAGAATGGGGCTAGAGTGTATTACTGCTAAAAGTAATCTGTATTGTTACTATAGAAAGTCTACACTACAGAGAGTGGAGAGAGAGAAAAGATTGCTTTTAATTAACATATCAGCTTCTCCAGATATAAATCCTATTATTTTATTTTTCTCCCGAAGCCTTCTCATTTGAAATGGAATGTAAAGCTATTTTTTCTGCAGAATTTCAAGAAAGAGTATTTATCTTTATCACATATTCCAAGGATCTCATCATTCTAGTTCATGTGGCTATAAAGTCATGCAGACTGTTAGAGAAAGCTGCACATGGATGAAACGGATAAAATGAGTATTAAGAGACTGTATATAGAATAAGCCAATTAGAATAAACCCTTCTGTTTCACTCCTATAAGCATCTACTTATATTTAATAACTACCACAACACAAGAAGAATATTTAAGTACTTGACACCAATTAATAAAAGTAATGCAAATTTTAACCATTGCAAGTCAAACATCTTACTGAAAAGCTATTGCTCCAAAATAACTCAGCTGACAATGAAGCATTTTAATGAAGGCAGAATTTACTGAATTTTGTGTTTCTCTTTTTCAAAAGAGATATTTCTTAGGCAGAGCTGAAAGTGGATATGGCTTGTTATTGGTTTATGCTTATATTGTACCTAGTCATGTGTGGTGGCTTTATACATAATAAGCAAAGTTCAGATGAGTTGTATACTAATAATACTCATCAGAGTAAAGTGCCTTAATAAGATAAGATAACATCTATACTAGTAAAACTCTCATGTCTGTAACCTTCAGCTGGGTGAAATTATGCATCATAGGGGAACAATTTTTGAACCAAGGTACCTCAAATGGGCTAACTTACAGAATGTGTCCAAAATCCAGGATCCATTACTCCCATGGGATTGAAATTTGTGGGTGCTTCAGCACTGCTGTGCTGCTGTGCCATGGTGGTCAGTCCAGGTCATGTGATTGCCATGGGCATACCCCCGACCTCTTTCACACCTTCCTCTGTCCCGTGCACCCAATCAGCTGGCGGCAAGGCCCAACAGGGGAGTGGTGATTGGATGCTTTGGAAACGAGGAAGAAATTTGAAATCTCTTAATAGCTGTGGGCATTGAGGGAATGATGAGGGAATGACTTGGATGCCTGCTGGCAAGGTAGGGCTGGCTGGGGGGGCACCATTGGCCATTGGGTGAACGTTCTTCCTCCCTCAAGGGAGGGGGCCCTTGGGGACATGCTGGAATGGGGACCATGGGTGCAGTATTCCTCATGGTCTGTGGCTTCACCCATTGAAGTGGCAGGCAGTTCTGCAGGTCAGTTGAGGAAGAGGAGAAGCCTTTACTGGGGCTCTCCAAAGGGTTGTGAGGGGAGGGCAAATGGTGCAAGCCTATATTATATGAAGGGAGGGAGGAAGGAAGGGAGAGAGGAAGATTTCTGATGCTCCCTGCCAGCTTCCCACAAGCAGAATCAATGGGGAAGCCGTCAGGAAGTTGCAAGTCTCTCACTCTCCCACTGCTTTTTTGCTCTTGGTCATTCTGTTTCTCTGTTTAGGTAAGGAAATATCTCTGAAATGATGACCCAATGGGTCACAGGTTGTCTAGTAGCATCTAAATTGTCCACGTTCAAACTATCAAAGGGATGAAATTGATAGGACACTACAATCTGTTTTAAAAGTTATTGGAAAACCCCAACACTTGGCTTTTTAAAGAGTAATTTGTCTATCTATTTCAAATTCAGATGTAATTTTTGAAGATATTTAAAGGACTCAAAATAGGCCAACTGTATGAAGTATATCCATTGCTGGTAAATAATGTTTTTAATAAGCAGTACCTCTTTTTAAAAAAATGTATTTTATTAACAAATCCAATGGTAGAAAGCATGCATAAAATATAAATACAAATTCTCCCATCCCATATTCTCTATGTACTCTTTTCTTCCTTTAGTTAGGAACAATAGTCCTTATTGGTTGTTCTGTGCCACTAACCTAAAGGGAGGCTGATGGTATCCACTACTTTGCCTTTTTTTCCCCTTTTCTTCTAGTAAGGGTAGTATACTAATTATATATGTAATTCTATATATTTTTAAGAAACACTGTACACATGTGTTCTTCACATTACATCATGCAGATTTATTTCTGTTTTGAGTCCATTATAATTTACTTCACGTGCTGTAGTTTACCTTGCCTGTGATGCCATAGGAAATTACATTAGGGCATAATATACTTATATAATTGAATGTGACTAAACTGCATATTAATTTCTGTTGAATGTTAAGAATGAATCATAGTACATGTGGAAGATATCTATCAAATGTTAATTACTTTGCTATATGATAGTTATGTATCATTTGCTTGCTCATAGATACATTTTTGTGTAGTGTTGGTACAACGAAAAAGTTGAAATATTGTGACAGTTGGCTTCCTTGGTACCCCAAATTACAGAATATCAATAGCAAACTGAAGGCAAGGAAAAGGAAAAGCTGATATGTTATATTGGTTTCAGTTTTACCGTTTTGTGAATATTTTTAGCTTGATGGACTGATTAATTGTGAAATATTGTGCTTTGACACTTATAAAATGAGAGTTCCCATGAATTTTCAGTTTCCAAGAAATGCATTCTTTTCTAAAGCACATTTTTTAAAGTGTTATTTCTGTCATAGCCACGATAAAGAGAGTTGATGGCCATGCACCAGTGGCAGGGCCACTACCCCCTGCTGTGCTAATTGTGCACTGCACAAGAGAGCCACACAAGGGAGAGCACCAGTTGCAACTTTAAAAAAAATACTCAAAAGCTGCATGGCACAGTTATATAGAAAGAGACTGTCTGAGAAAGAGATACAATATTTTAAATGCTAAAAAAAATGGTTGGGGGTGGGGGGTGCCACCAACAACCCTGACTGGTTGTATGCAAAACATTTCAAATGTTTTTATTATTTTATTTATTTTATTTTACGTGTGCAGTGCCCCATTTCATGTTCAAAACATTTATTTTCAAGGGTGAAACATTTCTGTCACATTCAAAATAGGCAGTTTCAATCATCCTGAAAGTGTTCCAAGGTCAGACAGCTGTTTCAAGTTTGAAATATCCTGCTTTGTGCTCAAAATACCCCCCACACAAAATGATTAAAACAGCCCATTTTGAATGTGGATCAGACTATGATGAACTTCTTCCACTACACTTTAAACTGAAATAAATATTTTTAAAGTTGTCTTAAATATGTTAATTTTTGTTGTTCAAAAAAAATACTAGTAAGCTGATTCCATAGCTTAGAAATTGGCTCATTTGTTTAATTTTTTGTACAAGTTTTAAAAGAATTGGTAGCAACACAGACTTCAGTTCTTACTTCTTTCCCTTGACAAAATTGCCCATTGCTTTCTTGATTTTAGCCAGTGACAGCCTATCAAAGATCTTCTTATAACAGATCCTTTCATCTCAAGAACTTTTGATGAGGAATGTTGCCAAATGCCTTTGAAAATCCTGGTAAAGAGCGTGGATAAGGATCACCCCCATCCACATGCCCATAGAAACCTTAAAAAATCTCCCAAAGGTTGGTGAGGAAGGGCTTCCCAAGGCAGAATCTACGCTGATTGTTCTTCAGCAAGGCCTGTTCCTCTCTCTGCCTAGCTCCATCCCACCTGACCCCACCCTCCGGCACCTTTGATTACTGTTTCTATCAGTTTCTTTGGAACAAATATGAAAATGATTGGCCTATAATTTCCTGTACCTTCCCCAGAGTTCCTTTTTAACATTTGGCTCTGCATTAGCTACCATTTCCTGACTCTGGCTGGAGTGACAAGTTACTTATTTTGGCTTAGAGTCAGCAATTACATCTTTGACTTTTTAAAGAACTCTTGAATAGATGCTGTCAGGACCCAGCCATTCATTATTGAGAAACGCCTTCTCATGTTACCTAAGTTTGCTTTAGTTCTTTCAGATCTCATCCTTAGAAGGTTAATACAGACTGTTTTTTTAAATTCCCTTTTTCCAATGTAACTATGTTGAGCTTTGCTGCCATTTTCCCCCTGGCAAATATGTTAAATACAATAACATAATGATCATTTTTGTTTCCTATTGGTTCCACGACAGTTACATTGCGCACCAGATTTAGGATTTCTTTCTGGCTGATTCCTGGACCAACAGTTCTAAGGCACAATTATTTAAGCATCTAGAAATGTGGTTTCTTTGTTATAGTCTAAGTCTTAATCTCCCCAGTCTATGTGAAGATTATTGAAGTCCTGCATTATTACTAAATCTTCCCCTTTGAATGTCCTCCTGATTTATTTCTTAAGATCTCCCTCAGTACTTTGATAGTATATACCTATCTCTAATTTATATTTGAGGCTAGATAATGTCACACATAATTATTCTATGGAGGGATCTGGTCTTTCAATGTTTTCTAGTATGCTAGATTTTATATCCTCCTTGATGTATAAAGCAACATCTCCACCAGTGAACTGTTCCTTGTTCTTTCTATAAGGTTTATATTGAAGATTACTGTAACCCGCTGATTCTTTCCATTCCACTGGGTTTCTGTTAATACCTACCATATAATTCACAAATACTCTAATTCCCCCATCTTGCCTTAGAGACTACTAGCACTGGTATAGAAACACCTGTACTCCATTGCTCATTTTGGTTGCATAAACACAACAGAGCTTTAACAAAAACACTTAAGTGAACTGAAATGTAGTCTTTAGAAATAGAAGTAAAATTGCAAATAAGTATTACGGTTCACTGCTATCATAAATAGGAGTCTTGTTAAAAAAAAGGAGAAAAAAACATCCAGTCTCTTTTGTTATTTTTCTCATTTTCTGTCTTCCTCTATAGTAATCAGTCACAAATTATAGATGAATCTGAAAGCTGTGTTATCACAGGTAGTCCTTGCTTAATGACAATAGGGACTGGAAAATTGGTTGTTAAGTGGGGTGGTTGTTAAGCGAATCGGACTCAATTTTATGACCTTTTCTGTGGTGATTAAGTGAATAACTGTGGTTGTTAAGTAAATCATGCAGTCGTTAAGCAAATGTAGCTTCTCCCATTGACTTTGCTTGATGGACACCCCCTGGGAAGGTCGCAAATGGCAATCATATGACTCTGGAACACTGCAACCGTCATGTGCAAGCTGGTTGCCAAGCACCCAGATTGCGATCACATGATTGCAGGGGTGCTGGGACAGTTGTAACTTTGGGCACCGATCATAAGTCACTTTTTAAAGCACCCTGGTAACTTCAAATGGTCACTAAACAAATGGTTGTTCAGTGAGGACTATCTGTACTTCATTTATTTGCCAACTGCATCAATTATTTTGGTGTTCTAACAGAGATCTATGCTGCCCAGAAAACAAGTAACACCTTCCTCTTTGTTTTTCTGTTAAACCACTAGATGAATCTAAAACATGTATGAAATTATGACTTTCTGAAACTGTGGTAATATTGAATCTGAATGTTCATTAATTCATCAATTCAACAAGATCTTTTACCATTACACCCTTAAAAAGGTTATATCCTGGCAGCAAATAACAAGGTTAACAAACAACTCTGTATGTGAAATTATTCTTTATGGTGATATGATGAAGATGATGAAGATGATGATGATGATGCCACCCAATGATCTTAGGGCACTGGTCTGTCTTCATCCTTTTTTTTTTTGCACAGAAGTGACAGTTTATTGAAATAAAATTGCAAATTAATTATCCTCCAGAGATGTTGCTTGGTATTTCCCTTATTTAACTATATTATGTGATTCTAAAGAAATATTGTTTAGTAATGAATGAAGCCGTAATTGCTAGGATTTAAAGGTTTGCCCTACTAGCCAAATGCATGCAATCTATGAAATTGCATTCCTGTTGGTTTCATTAGTATACCTGGCAAATTGAACAATTTACATATACTTGAATATAATACTAAAAATGGCATTTTGGTGATACAGTATAAATTGTAATAATAAACTACTTCTGGTATAGTATTGTAGTGTTTCTTTGCAAATACTTTGTAAAAGAGGTTTTTAAACGATCAGTGTGTACGTGTTCATGCATGTGTGTAATGATTCTAATTACTGCTGATATTCGTCAAATATGCCCCACTGATATCTGATTTGTACAGAGTTTGAGTATCCAGATAGGTTCAAGATTTGTAATAAGCCAGTTCAGAGATTTAAATTCAATCTCCAAATGCATGGGAGTGTGACATAGCTCTATTTGCTAAGTTTTGAGCCAAATTTATGTTAGGCTTTCTTCATTTGATCTTGACAGTGTGGCAGATTTTTTTTAGAATTTAGCTGGACAAAGTCCCTGAAAAAGGAAGATTTGTAAGAATAATAAATTGCCTTTCTCCAATATAGGTTCACATGACTCCTTCAGCTACTGGGTGGATGAGAAATCTCCTGTGGGACCAGATCAAGCCACAGCAGTTAAGCGGTTAGCTAGAATTTCTTTGATAAAAAAGCTGATGAAGAAATGGTCAGTAACACAAAGTCTGACATTCAAGGAGCAGCTTGACAGTGGAATCCGCTATTTTGATCTCCGTGTATCTTCCAAACCAGGAGAAGCTGGACAGGAAATCTACTTCATACATGGCTTGTTTGGAACCAGAGTATGGGATGGACTTGTGGAGATAAACACCTTCCTAGCCCATCATTCTAAAGAAGTAATCTTCCTGGATTTCAATCATTTCTATGCTATGGATAGCAACCATCACATGTACCTTATCAGCAGGATTCAAGAAATATTTGGATCAAAACTCTGCACAAAAGAATGTGTAGAAAATGTGACACTGCAAAATCTTTGGGAAAAGCAACAGCAGGTAGAGGATTTTTTCCCTATTTAATTAGATCTGAATTTCTGTAATTCAAACTATCATTAAGTGGCTTTTGGGAAAGCATCTTCAGAGGTCATAGGATTCAATGGATTCCTGACTCTGAAGTCAATGTTTGGAGGAAGAAATCTGAAATTGGTGCAGATACTAGTTTTCTAGGATCTAGAAACTCACTGGGCTATCTTACTTGCATCTTAGCATAGAATGTCTCTGTAACACTTCTTCCATTCTATAATATCTGTGAGCTCTTGTCTTTCTGGTACAGCTGAACTCCTTTTCAGGTAAATGTTTAACTGAGTAGAAATTACCTTGACTCTGCCCATCACCGTGTATTAACATTTTTTTAAAATTCTGGTGACTTGAATGAAAATTGATTTTTCTCATGGTAAAACTAATAGAAAATTCTTCTCTATATCAGCCCTACAGGGTAGACCAAATCAATAAAAAGACCACTGGAAGAAGTATAGTTTATTGAAATAGGCTATAATGACAGAATCTTACAAGCCTGATTGTGCTTTACCTCCCCTCCCTCTTATATCCCAATGAATCAGGGAAGAGCCTGACTGAATCTCTTCTAAATACTACCTTGTTTCCCAGGCCTTAAGAAATGTTTCAGCCTTCTTTGCTTATATAATGGTTCTTGCTTATTTCCCTCAAGGGATCTTCTTAATTCTCTACATTCTAGCTAAACACAGACCACCTTCTAAGAATTGCTTGTCTATCTGTCTTAGCAATCAGTTTGAAATGGATCCATTTTCAATCCTGCTTCCCTAATACCTCATAAAAGCTACATCACCACAATGTTATTGTCTTTCCTATGAACTATGTGTCTCACCCAATTCTGCTACACTTTCTGTTCCTCCTAGATTATCCTAGCCTTAATTTCTCCAATTATTTTAGTTCTGTGAGGTAGTTCCTGGATTGATCCTTCCTCCTGTATTAATATATTCTGAACAAATAAGGATCTCCAGAGGCTTGGTCATCTGCGCCACCTCTTTCTCACCTTTAGCCATGTCGATAGCTTTGTTCAGCTATCTTTCAAAAAGAAATCAGACAAACAGCAGGATATGTCAAAGTTGCCCCCCTGGTGGCAGTATTTGAATATAGATGCTGGTGGTAGAAGTTTATTTATTCAGTTTGATGCTGCCCAACTCCAAATGACAATACACCAACACAATATAAAAACAATTTTATAAAACAATCAACAGAACCAGACTTGGACAAAAAGAAAAAAGAAAAAGAGAAAGGTGGTGAATCTGGCAAACCTCAACAAGTTAGAAATTTGCGGGATTTGCTTCTAATGTGATGTATTGATTCATATTTATAACCAAGTGTCTTATTTATGGGGGATCATTCAACAAACATCCCAGCCACATATAGGCATAGCCTTGTTGTGTGACTGCCTTTATGTTCCTGAAAAAGAAGAAAGGGATACCCAAATGGGGGGAAACCTATATTTAAATAAAGTGTTTACAAGGCCCTAAAGCATAGAAGATGTTATTGTTTCTCCCCTTGTGGATTTAAAAGGAGAGTTAGTGGAATCTAATGGCAAGAAGTGGAAGAAATAATGAGAACCTTAATGTAACCCCCACCTATTGCATGAGATCTCAGCAGATAGGTGATATTCTTTCCCTTCATTTCCCTTAATCTATGATGAAGCTAACTCTGCTTGCTAGTATAGGTATAGGTATATGAAGGCAGATAGCGCTGTCTGATTATTCGTGGACTAAAATGGAACAGAGTGGCAACTCATGCAATCCAAGTCAGTATCACTTTGTTTCAAATATAATAGGATTACTGTATATAGCAAGTTTTATTAAGTACTGAAAGCCCTTCAAATTACTTCCACAATTTTTACAACAACCATGCAACATTTACTAGATGATAGTGGTACTCACCAGGTTGTGAGTTTCTCTAGTAACACTTGACCTGAAATTGCCCAGACTTTACTTTTACCCACTTCTGTGCTGTCTCAAAGACAATCTTTTCCATATTGTTATGCTCCTTGCCCATTGTTTATAAAGTAATTTTAGAGAATAATATGAATCTAAATGAATTTAGCCCAGGAAGAGATTTCAATTGCTTTATTTCTACCTCTGTTTTTTCAGGCTCTTGTTTTCTACCATCATCCTATCTGTGAAATATACCCCTTTCTGTGGTCAGGGAATAAAATGCCAGCACCCTGGGCAAACACAACCAATGTACATAAACTACTGCAGTTCTTGGAGACCACCCTGAACGAGCGAGCAAAATATGGAACTTTCCATGTTTCTCAAGCTATTCTCACACCAAGAGTCAAAACTGTCGCAAGGCATCTCAGCCGTGGTCTGAAAAACACTCTTGTTCACAGGTAAGTGTCTGCTTAAGTTTTCTGTAGGTCTTGATTAGTTTGCAGACTTTGCTAGACAATGCATATAGCGATACCCATGAAGCATTTCCTAGATCTCCTGTCCAATTGTTGACAATTAACTAAATAAATTGACCTACCTTGTAAAGTCATTAAGAATACAATCCTTTGGTTCCTGGGGGATCGTTGTAAGGGCCATAAGGAACTGTTCCCTGGACATGCCTGCAAATTGAGGTTGGGCAGAGAAAATATGCCACCTGTTTTCCTCTTCCATTAGAACCAATTAAAAGAAACCAAGGGAAAAAAAAAGGACAGGGAAAAATGACTGATTTTCATTCTTAAATTTCAGAAGAATATGTTAGAACAATCTCCTTTTGTACCCCTCAAGGAAAATGGTGGCTGGATAGAAAGGAAAAGCTGATAAATGTATTCCAGGTTAGGAGCTATAGCTATCAGTCATAAAACCAACTTCAACTCCCCACGCATAAGCATTAACCTTATATGGAAAACTTTAAAACTATATCATTTCCAAAGCTAAATGGCGTTCCTTGAAATCACAATTCAGAAGGCCTAGACTTTCTTTGGAGCAGTTCAAAACTCTCTTGTTTTGTTCTGAATGAATTCTTAATACCTTTTATTGCCCAGTTCATACCTGTTTTTGGTATATCCTACTTTTTAAGCTGTTTGGGTAATTATGTCTCTAATTATTTCTATAAAATAAGTAAATTCAAATAATTTTGTGTCAACTTTGTTAGAATTCACACATTATCACATTGCTTCACTGTCCAAGCTAACATCAGTTAATGGTTTTGTTTGGTTTTGATATAGCAAGATATACTGTATATACTTAGCCATACTGGTTTATAGGCAATCTATGCTTTCCAGATATTCTGGACCAGTTCCCATCACCCAAGGCAGCATGATCGATAATAAGGGAATGAGGGAGTTATATTTCAGAACATTTGGCCTGGTCTTTAGCTCATGGCTGGGTGAGTCAACAAAATCCACCCCTGAAGCAAGATTATTACATATAAAGCCCAAATAAGTAATAATCTTTAATTTTAGTCTGAAGATATCTTGATAAATTAATAGTAACAAGGTTCTGTTTTCCTCAATTACAATACTACTTAATCAGTAGTCTATTAACACTTTAATCTCTCATAACTTTCAACATATTGAAGTACTGGATGTGTCAATTACAGTAATATAGTAAGTAACTTGCTACAACTATAGTAGATAGAAAAATAGTCTAATCAGTCAATCAACTTGATTTAGTCTAATGACCATGTCAGGAAAAATAATCTAAACAGTGGCAATACACAGGATGCTCAAAGAAACCTATCTTCCCCTCCATCAAAATTAATCATCCATTGTTATAACAATCTCAAACTTCTATTTTTGAAAAACAGTTGTTATACAATGATAAGCCACTAGATGGTGATGAATCACTTTCCCTTTCTTCTAATAACCAAATGCATTGTATCTTTATTTTAATTACAAAAATAAACAGTACAATTATGGATAGCATTCCAGATCATGTGATACAGAAATGTTAAATCAGCAAAAAGTAGACAAACCAACCAAGTATAATTTATTTTGCTTGTGGTGCCTCATTCCTATTCTAAGGTGAATTGCTGATATAAAACGTGACTGTAAATGCAAGCTAAATAGATATATAACGAATGAGGCAATGTTTATTTTCCTTGAAAGAGGTTTCTAGATAAACGAGTGAATTAAAAAGGTTTGTTGTTCTTTGCATATCAGTTATATCTCTAGTGACTTGCTTCTCAAATCCAAACACTTGAAAGCAAAAATTCACTTACAGCATTCATTTATTTATTTATATTTATTTATATTTCAAATTTAGATACCGCCCATCTCACAAAAAGTGAGGTGCTGTAGCACCATTTCTCATTTTATTCTAGGGAAGTTCTGAAATAATAACTTAAAAAACAGGCAGGAAAACAACTTATTTAAATTAGACCACCTGCTTAAATGTTTGCCTAGAACCTTTATCTCTCACTAAAGCACAATGTAGTCTTTTAAAAAACCTATTGTTAAACTATTACCTGGCATAGTGTGTGAACTAGATCACAGGTTCACAGTATTTATTTTGAATGTTTAAATGCTACTGGGAAGATGTAGTGATTTTCCTGTAATGCTAAGAATATTAGATGGCATATCAACATCAAAAAGTCGATTTTAGAATTTTAGACTGAATGTAAAAATAAGGCACAAAATAATGTTGATAAACAACGTGATCTGTCCTTAATGTCCAGATATTTTCTGAGTCTATAACTAGAAATATAAGTATTGTTTATCTACTTGCAATTATGTGGTCCTAAAATCCTATTTATGGAAAATATATAGAGCGTGTTGTAATGCATTTGTTAATTTCTGTCCCTCTTCTTGAGCCTGTAATGTATGAGGTCCTCAGATGTGGCATACTTTTGCTGTTTTTTTTTTAAACGTTAAATTTACATGGTTTGTAATCGTTAAGAAATTACTATCACTCTTGTTTTCCAAAGTGGCATCCTTTGTTTCAGTATTTTGTTCTAAAGAAACTCACTGTTCACAAAATGATAGTTCTATAAAGGAAGAGCTTTTACCAGACGTGAAATGAATTTATTTCAACCAGTTCCCTCAGGCCATCTTTCACACTGTTCTGGAATAACGCCCCCCAGTCTCAATTCATTGTTTTTTGGGGGGGGGACTGCAGGTAGAAGATGAGATATTTTTAAAGTCCAAGATACTGTGCTCTAGGAAGAGAATTCTGAATCCAAGACAATTTAATTCGTCAAAAAGTTTTGTTTGTAAAGTACAATATGTAATACAAACATTTTTCTTATTTCCAAGAAGTATCGTAGATTATCATGTAGACATTATATATATATATATATATAATACATTATTATATATAGGATAAGGTGTGTCTCCTATATCTGTGATGTAACATTTTCCTTTATTTTCCATAGAAATCTTCCTTTGATTCTGAACTGGGTGAAATCACAGAAACCAGGAATCATGGGTGTTAACATCATCACTTCAGACTTTGTGGAACAGGTAGACTTTGCAGCTACCATAATTGAATTAAATGATCTCCTCTTAGAAGATAAAAAATCCTGATATTTTAAAAAAAGGTATTTAACCAAAGGTGGGGCTCCTTTGGGGGTACTTCATTTATATCAAATTACTCTATTTCAACCCTCCAAACAATTTTTCTGTTTGACACAGTATGAAGACAAAATACTTACATTCATCTCAAGGCATAGATCTAAACTGTCCAGTTTAGCACGTCTTTCTCTGCTGTACATATGAACGTTCTGCCTGCCTCTGGGAAATACAGGATGTGATTCTGGCTGGCCAACTGGAGGCTCAATGCTACAACACATGGAAATAATTAGCAGAGGCCTCTCCATAGACTTGCTGAGTGTGTACATCCTGCATATCATGAAACCCGGAACTCTGGCTCTAAGGATAATAATGAATTATAAGCTTGAATTCACCAGATCAGCCAACAGTTTACCTCTCTTGGCTACATCAGTTAGAAATACGTGCTGTGCTTGTTTCATTACTCCTGTACTGTGTATATCATGCTACCTCGGTCACTTTTTAGGGATACACTATTTCTATTGTTTGCTGTGATCTTTGGTAAATACAGTAATGTGTGTGAATTTCTAGTGTTAATTATGTATTTAGATCTCCCTTTTTTACTTGATCTTGCATTTTAATTCATTATTTTCAGAAGCTAAGCCTAAGTGGATAGAAAGAGGATAATAATTCCTTATTTTAAATGCAACACTATTTGTTTTGTGGATTTTTTTTTTTTTTAAGTCCTAGATTTAGAATCACTTCTGAGAAGTAAGAGGCTCATACCACCTAACGCTATCCCTTTCTGGCATAATTCACTTCTAACATATTGGAATTTGCACAAAAGAACGTAAACAGGAAATGGCACTCTAGGGTACAAAGTATCTGCCATTTTGTAGAATTTATTAATGGAATAATTTTTAAATTGTAAACCAGTATTTATGTATTTATTTTTGTAAAAAAATGTATGACATCCTATTTAATCAGTTCTGGGCAGTACACACTAAAAGCTGCCAGGATGCCATGCAAAGTTGTTATTGCTGCAGTTTCATACACATTTTTTCCCTGAGAAAAAGTCCTATTAAATTCTGTGGAACATGTCAGAGTAGATATTCCAGAGACTATAGCCTACACTAATGGAAGTGTGTCATTCTATGCAGTTCTGTCATCTTTCAGCTAGTCCTCTTTAAGAAAAGGCAGTCCGCTGGATAAATAGGAACCCAGCAAATAATAATTTTGTCTCTTGATCATGGACTTTTCCTACAGAGTTTATGTACATTTTGCATTCCAGCATAGTATGTGTATTCTGTTAGCATTGCTCATGGTAAATAATTGTAATATTGACCTTTAATAGACAAAAGCAACTTAACCTATTGTGTACTCCCAGACAGAATACAAGAAAGACTGTTAGGCAGCTAGTTCAAGAGTGCCAAGATTTTTATAGGCCAGAAGAATCAATGACACCTCTCCAATATTTGCCAGCACTGCTACTTTAATTTTTGTGCTATTTTATATAAAAGGTTCTAGAAGGAGCATTTATGGTTCCTTCTATAAACTTCTAAGTACCTGTCTGGAAATTTCTCATAAAGCATTCATAATAGTTTGTGTTGTTAACTTGCACTGAATGATTTTAATGAAACTTCAGGAAAGAAAAGATTTGCTGAAAGAAAATACAAGTCCAAGCCTCAAGCAAGCAAATGTTCTTCAAAAATCTAAGTTGCATATCAGATGTTCTGAGTATCCAGTCTATTTCAGGGGTCATTTCAGCCACAGCAGCTATGAACAAAAAATGAAGGTAGTATTTGCATATCACTGTAAAGGACTGACTTATACAGTTCTATACAGGGCTTGGACTTTATTTATTTATTTATTTAGTCATTATTTATTTATTAAATATATAGGTTACCTCAATCAGTATGACACTGGGCAACTTACAAGTTTCAGCAATGAAAAACAATAAAAAAACCCCTCAATATATAATTCAAAAGGAAGTCTGGAGGAGAATAGCAATCAATCAAACAAGCAAAACATCCTACTAGGGGTAGGGGTTAGGGTTACCCTAGTTAACCCTAACCCTAACCCACCATTCTAATCCATGGCCTGGGGATAAAGCCAGGTTTTGCCTAAACAAGGACAGAATGTTTATTACTGTTACTACCTGAAGATGAAATCAGGGTGTCAACAGTAAATGTCCTGGTTTAAGTTCTTCTGGTGGCGGGGTGAGAGGGAAGGAGTTCCCCTCAGTTTCTGCTGTATATTTATTTGAATAGAATTATTTCCTGTTATATTATGGTAACAGCATTTTACTGTCTTTCTTTTGTTTTCAGTTTAAGACTTTGCTTTCAAATGGAAGTTTGGGCATAACAGAACAATGAAAATAGGTAGTGGTTTTTGCCATTGGCATTAAGAAAAGAATTGTGGTGGTCTCAGATGTATGCCCTTCAGGAGCCTCCATTATCATATGAGGGAGGGAATTCTCACTATAAAGCTCAGATTTGTTTGCATCCTCAAGATCCTCATCCAAACCTGTGCTACTTTAGCCTGTAACTTGTACTATTCATGGCACAATTCAGAATCTGACAAGAGTTTCCCTTCTTTCAATTTGACATATACACTTATAATAATCTGATGGGCTGAAATCACTTTCATAGAGCATCTTCTATCAGAATCACTTGATGTTTGGTTATTATTAAACATTGATTAATATTTAATCAAAAGTAAATAAATTAATATTTAATTAAGTTGTTGTATTAAGCAGGTGCTTTTGGTGACTGTTGGCATAGCAGCTGTACTGGAGAGGCTTTGTGTGCGTGATGAAAGACAATTTGATTCCGTATCTGAAAAGGGATACAGATTAATAAGGCCAGTTATGTCAGAATTTTTGTAAGCATTTTCCACTGTTAATTTATTTTTATGTTAATTATTTATAGCAGCTCTAAATCATTATATTTATATTCTTTTAGAGTATAGGACCTTCTTAAGGGCACTGAAAAGCTGGTGGGGCTGCACCCACATCTGTCAACCATTTTGCAGCTCAGTGCTTGCTTTTACGAACTTTGCGCATGATTTGCAGACATTTGGCCTGTTCTGGCATGATTAGTTCCATTATGATCTGAAAGTCTCACAAAACACTATGGCTGTCAAATAGCAAACCTGGTTTAACAATTGCTATGGTCACATAATATCTATACCCAAACAATAATGGCTTAACATGGTAGGGTGGTTTACAGACTTGCTGTGATTATTCCTGTGTTGTTACAACACTGAGGTGGTTTGAGCTGCCTTTTTCAGATTTTTCTTGATTTTTTTAGATTATGGTTTTTGTTATATTGGTACTGGGATTTTTTTTTGGTCAGGTAAAGATGGGGTTTCTTCGTATGGGGATTTCTTTCATTTATTTAGCATCTCTAAAGCAGGCTGTATACAGATTTTGGTATAAATAAATAAATAAACATGCTGGGCCACAAATTGCCTTACACAATTTCACCTAATGTAACACGTGGAGCAATCTCAACCTTTAAGTCTTCTCTGCATACTTCTCCACAGAAAACCATTTCGGGGAACAGTAGTGTTGGACTTTGCCCATTGAGGAAGTGTAAATACTGTGTTATAAGAACTCCAACCTCACTCATTCAAACATTCATGAGGCTGGGCGTTATCGTCCTTCTCCAGTTGGCTCTAATGTCTAGCTGGCTAGCCAGTAATCAATTTTATTTCTCTGAAATCAGTCAAATAATGAAACAGTATCTTGCTTATATTTTTGTACTTTGTAATTCTTGTTTTTCAGTTATACAATTTCTGTTATTTTATCTGCAGTGATTGTTAATAGCAGTGTACTGTTCTTCGTCTACTTAAAGCTCAGCCATTTCAGATCATTATGCAATGTAAAATAGCCAACTTATGCAACACTGGAATTTTTTGGTAATGGTTTTTCTTATCTTTATTATTATATCTATATTTAAATACTATATGATTCTCCCAATTGTCAAGAAGGAACTAACTAATCTTCAGAACTATTTGTGTTTATTAAGGAGGATAAATAGAAAATAAAGAGACCTTTTCTTTTGTATTTACAATTCTGTCCTCTAAATCACAATTAAGACTGATATTTTGGTTGCATTAATAATTAAAAGTGATAGAGTTATGAGATTAGGTGGCACATAAATGGTTGCAAATTAATAAAAAGGAATAAAGTATTAGAATGTTATGTATATTTTCTTTAAATATCTGTTATCTGGTTTTATATGAGATCTGGAAGAACTCCGTTTTCTTGCTTTTTTATAGACTTTGATTAATTTTTATCCCTAACAGTGTATACATTTCAACTTTTCCTTTAGAATGCCAGTTTTACTATACATGTTTTATTGCAATTCTTTTGAGTGTTCTAAAATCAGAATACCTCATTTATTTGTGCACATAACTTCTGGAGTATTTTTTGTTTTTCACATTTATTTAGTGCTTTGTTTCTAATCCTGAAAAGTCTAGATGTAATTGTGCAATCTGAATGAACACTATAGAATTACTGTACTCATAATAAAAGAATGTTGATGTGTAGTACATTATAGCTTGTTTTAGATTCTTTGCTTTTATTTTGAACAAAGCGATTACAAAAATATACAAACTTCCTTTGGTGATTTTTTTCAATATTGGTTTAAAAGGAGTTTTTTAAACAAATGGAAACATGTTCAGATGCAATAGATAGCTGTGTTTTTTTTTCAAAATTTCACACAATTGTCATTTCCATTTAGAAGATGGCTCACTCATCCTTTCTTTTAAATTACTCAAAATTTGAAAGTTTGGATCTTTATTTTTGAACTATTTGAAATATTTGTATTCCTGAGTGATAGCAGGTAAATCAAGTACACAGAGCATGTAATAGTACTTACTCTTCTGTCCTCTTCATAACCACTGCATTAAAACTCAGATCTAGAACCTCTTTTGTTGTTGTTTGTGAGTGACAAATGAGTAAAACAGAATAGGGACAGATCTCTTAACGAGACAGCACTTCCAACATTTTACCTTTGAGAGGATTAGGTGTGCTATCTAGAAAAATCCAAACTAGTAGAAGTTCATACTACTTCTGACTTTATTAGTAGTCCTGTGTGAAATGAGAATGCTGTCTTCAAGCCTTTCAGTTAGTCATCCCTGCCTTGGTCATCTCATGATTGGGTTACGGTAATGCACTCTACATGGGCTGCTCCTGAAGATCACTGAGAAACTTTAGCTTATCTAGAACGTTATGGGGCAGGCAGTGATAGAGGAGTTGCATTATGGTCATGTGACCCCACTGCTCTGTGAGCTGCACCAGTTGGCTTCCAGGTGCAATACAAAATGCTGGTTATCACCTATAAAGCCCTTCATGGCATAAGGCCTAACTCTTTTACCTCCTATTGTTTCTGCCCATCTCGTGATATCAAGCAGACTGGGTCCTATCAAAGTATTATCTTATGAGACCCAGGAAGCATGTCTTATCTGTTGTGGTGCCTATTCTCTGGAATGGCAACACCCCTGAGATTCATACAGCTCCCACCCTAACGACGTTCCCAAAAAATCATTCAAAACGTGGTGGTTTTTCCAGCCTTGTGGAATCCCTATAAGTCTAGCTTTCTTAATGGTTTTTTTTTTTAATTGGCCTTCTAGTTGGCTATGATCTTTTTATATGAATTGTTTTCCCTTTTTTTTTTTTTTTTTTACACGTAAGCTGCCAGGGCACTGAGTTAAGTGGCCTTAATTAAATTAAATAAACAAATACCCTTTTAGCTCGATGAACCTCTTAGCTCCAAGCTAATGTTTGATCATATGATCAAACAAGGATTGTTCTGGATTTTACCCTACAGGAAATAACTACCTTTAATAAAAAATCTTTTACCTATTTATTTCTGTATGCATAGGTTGTCTTTTACATGCATTTTGTGTGTGTATTCATTTATTTATTGTAGGCACATGACTTTGTAGTCCAGGATAGGCAATGTTATTGATTCATGATCTAGGCTTGCTTTCCTACCATTTAAGTTTCAAGTTTTAAGGTTCCAAAGCAATATAACCCTTTGATTTTTCTATTACTTACTCTGGAGAATAGCATTTAAGAAAAAGAATATTCAGAGCAGTTCAAAGTACTATTGATTTGTGCAACCATTCATTCATCTTATAAAAGATCTTTTGACAAAAGTGATAAGACTGTTGCTTCACAACAGCCACATTCCTGAATAACCATGACAGAATATTTGCTTCTTATGGAACATATGCATCACAAAGCCCTTAACTGAAAACCTGTTCAGGGTTTTCTTGAAAGAAAGCCAACTGTGACCTTGGAATGTTTGCCAGTTGTTGTTGAACATATTTTACCCTAAAGCTAAGGGAAACATTTGAACCTGTAGAGTTAAATAAATGTTACATTTCGTTCAACATTCTGTCTAGTTTAAATTCAGATGAAGGGTAGTTATTCACTTGAAACAAGTCTATCCATTGGAAACTAAAGGAGACAACAGTATGACATGCATTTATATTGGTAGACTTACAGATTCAAACTTGCAAGCGAGCATTTCATGTTCAGGATAATCCACTAGTTAAGGTATTTCAATGAACCTTGTCTAGGAGCAATTTCAACTGGATTAGGCATCAAATCCACAGTAAATATTTGTGTGTGTTTTTTATGTATTTATTTCTGTTGCCTTGTAACAACAGAATGTGGTCTTTAAAAAAAAAGTGATTAAATAAAAATTAGTCACTTAAAAATCAGACAGTTGATGAATAAGTCTTAAAGGTTAATTATCAGTACAATCCTTAATCAGCAGTTAAAATTCAAGGAAAAGAAACTGGCTGACACAGAGTCAGATAAGAGACACTAATCCTGACTGCACATTTATGTACCTCCTATATAGGGTGTGCCTATGCACCTCACATAGGGTGTGCCTCTGCTACAATGAGTCATGAAATCCACAGGAGCAGAATACAAAACTGCCTTGGTCCAGGTCTCACATGAGTCATCCCAGCTAAATACTATTAGCATTGGACATATTTGTAGTTTTTCATGATCCAAGGCCGGAGGGCCTTTTACTCTCATACCCAAAATACCTCAATGTAGTGACCTGGGGCAAATAGCTCATAATGATAAACACAGCATTCTAAATGTTTTTCAAATGCAGACAACTTCATTTGGTCCACAGCTAATAATTATGAAGATTACAGTAAATTTAGGAGACTGAACTTCTTCCCCTGCTTCAGTCCTCAGGAAAATCCTCCCTCTAAAATAGCATTTGCATAAGGAGGAAGTCTTCTCTTGGTGCCAGAGTAAAGATATATTCTGCCTCCACTTCTATTGTGATCTCAGCCATTTCTGAATTTCCAGTTCATGCCATTTGTATCTATAAGTTACATGTTAAATTTAAAAATACTTTTAACATGAACTGCAGTTTTTCCCTCATTGAATATTTACTGGAAGTAAGATCCACTGAAAGTATCCAGGTTTTAAATTCCAGCGTTCCATTTATCCCTAGCTTTTCAGCAAAATGAGAAAAAAAAAGTTTAAGTAGCTTGACATTTTTAAAGATATTATTACAAAGCCCAATGCAATCAAAGCTTTTTATTTTGAAAAAAGCATTTATATTCCTAATATATCTATAGTTAAGAACTAGGATGATCACTCTTGCAGTCTTTTATTAGTTTCGTTCCTGGCACAAAACCAAACTCTCAACTGCATTTTTAATAGTTTAAAATGTAGAAAGCTTTCTCTTCTTTGCCTAAACTATTTACAAAATGACAACATTTCACCTCAGGCTGAGTTTGTTGATAAGTAACACGGTAAGCCTAAACAGAATAAAATGTATAAGAGATTTCCAAAAAAGAGAGACCCCATAACAGTATGTCACAGATGTCTGGAATCCAGATCAGCTTTAGTGTAAATCTTATTTACAACATTTACTTAATCATTGGTGCTATGCAAGTGAAAATATGCTACCGGAAGTTACTCTAAATCAGTGTTTCTCAACCTTGGCAGCTTTAAGATGTGCGGACTTCAACTCCCAGAATTCCCCAGCCAGCTGGCTGGGGAATTCTGGGAGTTGAAGTCCGCACATCTTAAAGCTGCCAAGGTTGAGAAACACTGCTCTAAATAGTGGTGGTTCTATAAAAGAAAAACACACACAAACAAAAATTGACATCAGACAAAGACACTCAGTGAGTAGGCTACATCAGGAAATTTACACTTAGCAGGACAAATAATAATAATAATAATAATAATAGTACTGGAAAAACTGTTACCACATAAGTAAGTTAGAGAAAGACAATGCAAAGGCTCCATACATTATGAGAAGTTGTAAATATAGGTTTGGCCTTTGTTCATTTAAATCTGTGTTTTTCAAACTTGCCCATTTTAAGATGTGTGGACTTCAACTCCCAGGATTCCCTAGCCAGCAGTGGCTGGGGAACCCTGGGAGGTGAAGTCCACACATCTTAAAGTTGCCAAGTTCGAAAAAAAACACTGGTTTAAATCATCCTAACACTTACAGTAAAGCAGACTGGATTTCAATAAATCTGCTCATTCCTTATAGTCCTTAATTGTTCATGTCTGGCTACAAGTAGTCTATGGCAGCCTTCCTGGCAACTTTCATTTAATCATGCTAGCTGGGAACTATGGGAGTTCTGTAATATGAAGGACATCAAGTGGAGAAGATTGGTCTCTGATAGTCAGTGAGTTATGAATACATGGTTGAATCATTTGGAAGCAATTTTCCCCACTATTTTCCCAAGTCTCTTGTGAATAGTTCGATATAGTTTCTTATATGCCTGTTTGCAGGCCTGTGTAACCACTAGTGATGCTTCTGGTTTTCAGACAAGCATATATCCTAACCCTAATTTAGAGAGGTCAAAGATTGAACCTGAGTTGTTTTAGGATTGTTTTTCTCATGCATAGCATAATTCAACCACAACAACAGTTTTTCCATTAAGTTTAAGAAACATAGTAAAATGAATCCTGCAAAAGAATTTGGAAGAAGAGAGCCAAAAAACGATCTAGGCACATCCAGGTCTCTCCATTCTCCTTGGCATTAGCATGTTATGGGTAACTTATCTTGTTTTTCTCAAAAAGCACTGAATACTGATATTACCAATAGGCTGTTGTAACTGGCTGAAAGAAATCTTCCACCATAATTTGCCACTGCTATGTTATTCACCTGCTACATCCATTAAACTATCTTTGCGCTTAAAGGCATATGCTTCTAGCTTCTCATGATCTCAGGCTGCAACAGATTTAGTAATTTTCTGCTCAGCATTAAACATATATTGACAGTTTATTAGAAATGTCTTTTGTCTGAGTTAGGGAGAAGGTCCATTTCAGAAGGGTCTTTTCTACAAAATAATCATGTTCTCTTGATGCCCTTTCTCTTTGAGTGAAAAAGTTTTTTTCCCAAAAAACATGTGTAAACAAATATCTATAGACCACTTATGGGTATGCCTTCTTCTGATAGCTGAGCTTAGAGTAAAACATTTCTTTTGTTTTCTCCTTGGCCAGGCTGAATGACTGCTCTTATATTATTATTTGACTTTGTTCACACTCATAACTGTC